GAAGAAGAGAGAAAAAATAAAGTAAGAAAATGTCATCAATATGATAATGGTATTTTTTATAAAGTGTAAGGTACATCTGTGCCTGAACAAGGACAGAAACTGTATTTGTGYCTACCACCAAGTGAAATAAATGGCTGTAAAAAGTTCATTGTAAAACAAACAAAGAAGTAAACTTCCTACACTGTTTTAAACTTGTTAAAAGTTATGGTCAAATCTGTCTTTTGTTTCTTAATTTAACTTTGTTGTGAGGAAAATGTTACCAAAAACAGCCCAGTGTATCAGATTTGATACAAAAAATATAYAAACAAAGTCATGTGACAAAAATAATGTTTGGGATTTTGTTTAAAGGCCCAATAAACATGTCAGTTCTAAAAAAATTGGGAGTTTTCTGACTATTTCCCACAGGTTTCAGCGCTACGCTGGCCCACCTTCTGAGCAGTCAACTTTACAGTTTCTGTCACGACCTCTTCTGAAGTGACCGAGGAGGTCAGAACACACGACAGTAATGATACAACGTGTCTTTTAAAATATCCTTCTGTGCTGCAACCAAGAAACAGCCACTTCCCCTCACATGAAGTGTCTGACAGACAACAAGCAGTTTCATATTTGTTTTAATTTTCTTATTAACTCAAACAGATGTTGTATAGGGAAGATACACACACAGAYACTTCGGTTTTGACCAAAAGCTAACTTCAATCTAAGAAAATATCGCAAACACAGCAACTTCTCCCAATCCCAGCTGGACTTGGATTAGGTTTGTCTCAGATTAAATTCTCACTTTCTGGTCGGCTCGACTCAACAAGGTTGAAGAGATTCGTCGTCTCTACCTGTCCATGAGCTTCTGGGTCGTGTGAAACCTAGATTTTTGCGATGGTGGAAACAGAACCACTAAAATTTCACAAGCGAGGATTTGTTGTTCTGAAGAAGTTCTGTGTGAGGAGAAATGCTGTCCTTAACATGAGGTTATTCATCAGGAAACACAAGGACAACAACAAAAACATCAAATATCTGATGCAAAGTTTTTCTTTTTGTAACTAACTGGCACATTAGATATGGAGTGAAACCTGAAACCTGTTACTGATGTGAAAACAGTCTGATTATGAGYGCACGCCGCTCATGACCATGTCAAATGAGGTCCTCAGATGAGGCAAATCATAACCTAGTTATTAGTACAAAATTTGTTGGCTATAAAAGTAGTTTTTAGTTCGATTTTAGGTAAAGTTTCACTGACTGTTCTAACCTGAAGAAATTTATTTAGTCGTTTAGAAACTGCTTTTAAAAGCACCACACCATATTCATAATTTTCCTTTTTATCATTCATCAATCAAACATGAGGACAAAATGTCTGTCTGAGTGTCTGCGATTCAGCCGTAGGCCTGTAGTGGGCGTACCAGGCACTGAGGAACCATGTATTTATAGACCGGAACTTCCTGTTTTCCAGCAGTGTTGGTTTCATGTCTGCAGAGAGAGCATTAAACTATGGGGTGCCGTTTGTAACGTTACACAATCAAAAATTACCACCAGTATTTTAGTTTTATTTAGCCTTTTTATAATAAAAAAGAATGTATTTATTTCTCAAAGTCAGTTTTTCATCATATAATTCATATATTTATAAATGTCATAGTTTATAAAC